TTTAGAAAATCGAGGCGATTTGCGAGTTGATTATAATTAAATATTTTACTTATATATTATGCGATTTATTCTATTGAGCAAATCATGGCAAGAGTGCCAAAAAAACTAGCTTTTCATTTTCAATCATAACACTCGAGTGAAATGAAATACGATCGTATTTCATATTGAATTTTTTAAATTTTAGTTTAATTTAATTTTTCATCATTTACAATATCCAAAATTGCGTCGTAAACTTCTCCTTATTGATAGTATAAGAGCCGAATTGTATTTATCCTTGCTTTCCCGTCATATTCAGAGTATCAGTTTGTTGTTTTAAAGTTAAATTTTAACGTATTTTGAAAGTACCGTCCAAAAATCAGTAAAAAATGCAAAAAAAATACACATTTCTTGAAATATATTGAAACAAAAACTTATTATATTTGATATGTGTTATTTCTGCATAGTTAATAATTATTAAATTTAGAGTATGAACACCGCTAGATATAAAAAAGCTTTAAGATTTTCGTTCCAAAGTAAATCTTGCTTCCATTTTTCATATTTGTTCGATTACGGAAACCCTAACCACGCATGTCTTCAACATTCAAAATTCATCAGAAGCAAAACATTTGCAACAAAAGCAAAAGTTACAATTCAATTTCTCCGAATAAACATGCCATTTTTAAGCAGTGACTGCCCATTTTTTATTTTCCCGATTATAATTTGTTTACATTTTTCAAAAAGTTCCGTTTCAACTAAATCATCTCGCAATTTTTCGTCAATAATGCCCAATAATTAATTTAATCTTTCGCAGGTTTGAGCTTATGGGATTGAACAGTAGATAATTTCTTTTTCGATTCCACGATAACTTTAAAGAAAGAAAAAAATGAATAAGTAGATTAAGCAATGACAGAGCTGTTATTTACTAATTTGCAGAGTTATTAATCGGTTAATTATTTCTACTGATATCACATTGCAAAATAAATGTGAATAAATGCTTTTTGTGTCTCCGTATCCCTAATTAAGTTAGATTGTTTGTTATAATTTATTAAGTATTCTAGATTTTATATAAATAATTTTAGATTTTATATAAAAAATAAAATATTATATTATAAATTTAATTTCCGAAAACTCGCTTTCGTTCTTCAAGGTAAGTTCTTCAAGGGCATACATCAAATAAAAGGCAAAGATTTAGAAGTTAATCTTTAATTTTTCCAAACGTTTCATAGTATTTTTGTCATCATCAGTGGATATAAATATGGTCTTACATCAGTAGCTAGCGCATATACATTAACTTGTTTTTTTTTTTCAACATCAAAATTAACTACTAAATCATATATATATATATATATATATGTATATATATATATATATACAGGGTCGTCCTGCCTTGCATACGATGCATGCAAAAAATGCGGGCGCACGCCTTAGGGGGCGCCAAAACGAGTTTTGAAAATTAAATTTATGATATATTATTATTTTTTATTATTTATATAAAACCTAGAATACTTAATAAATTATAATAAACAATCTAACTTAATAAGGGAGGTAGACAAAAAAAGCATATTTATTTTGCCATGTGATATCAGTAGACAATTAATTAATTAGTAAATAACTGCTCTGTTTTTTTGCTTAATCTACTTATTCAATTTTGTCTTTTCAATTTGAAGTTACCGTGGAATCGAAAAAGAAGATCTAGTGTTCAATCCCGTAAGCGCAAACCTGCGAAAGAGTAGATTAATTATTGGGCATTATGACGAAAAATTGCGAGCTGATTTTGTTGAAACGGAACTTGTTAAAAAAATAAACAAATTATAGTAGGGAAATGAAAAATGGGGAGTGAGTGCTTAGAAAGTGGCATGGTGGCATGTTTATTCCGAGAAATTGAATTGTAACTTTTATTTTTCTTGCAATTGTTTCTCATCTGATGAACTTTGAATGTTGAAGACATGCGTGGTTACGGTTATGGAAATGGAACAAATATAAAAAATGAAAGCAAAATTTACTTTGAAATAAAAATCTTATTTTTTTTCTATCTAGTGATGTCCATACTCTAAATTTAATAATTATTAACTATGCAGAAATAAACCATATCAAACATAATTAGTTTTTCAATATAGTTCAAGAAATATTAATTTTTTGCGTTTTTTACTGATTTTTGAACAATATTTCTAAAATACGTTAAAAAATGATCACAATCACAATTGAAATCTGATACTCAGAATATGACGGGAAAGCAAGGATAAATACAATTCGGGTCTTACGATATCAATAAGGAGAAGTTTACGACTCAATTTTGGATATTGTAAATAATGAAAAATTAAATTAAAATTTAAAAAATTCAACATGAAATACGAGTGTTATAATTGAAAATGAAAAGCTAGTTTTTTAGCTCTCATGGTATGATTTGCTCAATAGAATAAATCGAATAATAAATATAAGTAAAATGTTTCAAAACTCTAATAATAATATTAATATCAAATTTAAAAATAATTGATTATAATCAACCCGCGAATAGGCCCCAATAATGAATAAGTAAAATGTTTCAAAACCCATCAAATATTAATATTGCACATACGTTAAAAATTTCAATATGGTTAAGTATGAATATATATTCTAATAATGTTTAGTGTATTTATTTCGTTTCGGAGATAACTGGATGCCCCTTCTTCAGGAACTTATTGAAAACAAAACAATTTTTTTTATATATTTTGAAAATTGAAAGAAAACACTTTTCACCTTTCAATTATTGAAACCAACGATTTTTATTCAAAATTATGAATTCTTTCAATTATCAAATATGAATTATTCAAAAATTGTATATACTTAAATGTATAAAAAAATTATTAACCTAAATTACTTTTGTAATACATTACCTATAGGCTTTTATATCATTAACATTTCCAGGCTCGAATGCACTTTGTACAAAATCCGAAAGCGCTTTATATCCGTGCGTCTGAAACTCACTGGTAAACATTACACCCCCGTCTTCAACTCAAAAATTGTAATGGATAATCTTGATTGCCTCCGCAATTTGAATTTCAGTAACTCAAAACATATATGAAAGTTATAATCTAAACACTTTATTCATTAATAATATATATATATATATATATATATATATATATATATATATATATATATATAAGTATTAGTAAATCAACTAAACAAATCTTTGCCAAATCATATTGTCAATCAATCAATATTCAATTGCAAGTGAATCAATTTATTTTTCAAGTGTCACGAACTCTCAAAATTTGAACGCAATGTCTTGTTAACAATGTCCTATTTCAAAGTTCAAAATCTTTAAATTAATAATTACTACTTAATACTAGAAGCGGTTTCTAAATGGAACTCAATAAAACAGATTTATTGTTATTATATATAAATTAAATTCGGCCATCCTCGGATAAATCCGTTGCGTTCTATCGTTTGGAGCATTAACACAGTTAAAGGCTATAGATGCATTAATATACAGAATCGGCCCCTCCTTCGTATTTAAATGATTTATATGCCATTTATGCGCACTTTCTAAAACAAATCAATAAACCAATTTTCAACATTCCAATTTACTATTTGGCTATCAATGATATTTATATTAAAGATTTGATTGAAAATATGTAAAAAGTGTCCTCTTTTTTTAAAGCTTTTTTGCAGTAAAGGATATTGAAAAACAACTAACGTAGTTAGTGAAATGTGTTGGACTATATTATTTTCAGCAAATAATTCATTAGTTGTTTAGCACAATCATTAGCATGTCCGTGCATAAAATAAATTTGAAATAATTTTTCGTTTTGTATTCCCTGGCAAAGTAGATTCATGAAAATTTTAATAAGCTTCGTTAGAAATCATAATTTTCATGTGCGATCCAAAATATTATTCAAATTTTTGTAATATATAAATATATATAATACAAAAAGTTGAAAAACTGCAACCGCAATTCATATA